ACTTTGTGAAAGTCTGTAAAATATTGTAAATTCATTTTCAATTTTTCAATAAAGACACACCATTGTGGCATGATTGCCGGTTAAAAAAAAAAAAATAATAATAATATAAGAAATAATACTTTAACTAGAATTATATTTAAGTTATAACTGATTGTGAAATTTTGTAACAGTTTTAAAAATATCTTTCTAAGGTTTTGGTTTTGGTTTTATATAAAAATTCACATATAAAGATATTTTTTAAGAAATATTTTCTTAAAATGATTTTTAAGGTGATAACTAAAAATCAAAATATTCGATGCAATTATAAAATTTAGCAATTAAACAATTATTCTTTCTTTAACGTTTGTCATTACTTTTATAATCATCACAATAGAAATAAATAAAATAAATTGTGTCTGATTTACAATAATACTATGTTACATAATATTAAATAGTATTTTTAACTGCCAACAATATTATTTGTTTTTTGTTAAATAACTTTTGCCATTTAAAAGTATCGTGTTATCATTATGGCCGAGGTTCAGACAAGCCACTACTTCAAATTTATCTTTTAAATTTAACATTCAGGCGATCTCATGCCACAGATTTAGCTATTGTTTGGGCGGTCTGGCACCAAAAATAGTACTACCAATTCTTACACTTGTGGAACCCAATTTTATTGCCTCTTCGAAATCATCAGACATTCCCATGCTTACTTCTAACTCGATTCCTTGCGATTCTTTAAATTGCTTCTGTAGATTTATTAAACTCTAAAGAGCAATTCGATAGAAGGAAAAATTAGGCATCCATGAGTTAAATTTGAATAAACTCCACAAAAGATAATATTGTACGCACAATAAAATCCGGGTTCGGATCTTCAGTCATTTCCTTACGCGGTGCACCAATTGTCATAATACCCATGAGTTCCAACCTTTCACAGTTATCTTTGATGTGATTTAACACCGATAAACATTCCGCAGGATCAACTCCACTCTTTGCTGTTAAGAAATCAAGCAAGGGTCAATGATCAAAGCGTGGTTTTAGATCAACTGGTCGAATCAAACTTACATTCTTCTCCGCTGGTGTTAACTTGAACGGATACCCTCAATGAGGACTCTCTTGTTGCGCAAGCTTTATTCATTGCATCTGCTTTTTGTTTGCTATCTATCGTTTCAACCGTCCACAGATTTGGTATCGCTGTTGCAGGCAGGCAAACTCCGAATCAAAAATCAAATAGAGCGAATGCCTTTACAGAAATCTTTTTGGAATCTAATGATAATTTACCAGCAAGAGTTTTGCATTTGTTACTTTGCAATGTTCCGATGAAATGCCAGTTGATGTCCGAGGGAAGCTATGTATTTAAGGTTTTTTTTTCGTTTAAAGTTATGCCATAGTATTATAAGTAGATTCCGAAAATTATACGTACCACTCTACTTTTTTCAACTAATTCTTGTACCTGCATTAAAGCAAAGAATTTCGGTGAAAAATCGAAAACTGCGGTAATCGCAGCCAATTTTTAGTAGACTTACATAGTTCTCACCAAAATGTCGTTGTCCATCTTCATAAGCTACCAAGATATCTGACACAGGTTTAAGCTTACTAACTGCAACCAACCTGACCTATAATTTTTTTTTTTTTTTATGAATGATTGTACAAAAGAAAGCCACTGTTATTTATATATTTATATATTTATTTGCCTCGCGTTTTCCTTGCGTTATCGCCTCGATACGTTTCCTTACGTAAGTAAGGTTGCTTATAATTTCTCGTCGACGCAACTCTACGTTAATATCAGAGTAGTTATTATTTTGTTCGTGATGTAAACTCATCATTTGTGCTCTGGTGTCCCGATGTGCATATTTATTAATAGACGAATCATATGATTCCTGTTCACATTGTAATAGTTACACGATCATTAAGCATAAGTCATGATGCTAAAATTGTGAATCTTTGTTAAGTCCACAACGAACTCGATGCCTGCCACGATCCAGATCCCAAGAGGTACGCAACTATGACGACTTTTTGTTACAAGTTTCCATATTTTTTCTTTTTAAACTTTTTTCGCTGGTTCCGATCTTCTCTTTTTTCACACCTCTTCAGATGTTTTTGCTAGGCTTAGGCCGGCAACCGACGGTATGCCAATTCAAGGCATCTTGTTCGGCCAACGTGAAGAAACCATAGATCGACGACTTTTTATTCGCGTGAAGGTCTGTGCAAAAGATTCAAGTGGCACGATCGTAAATTTTTTGCGACAACTCCTCTCACAACGAACACCTGCGCTTCCCTTTTTAGGGATTCCTCCCCTTTAAATCTAGCTCACAAGACCTCGTCAGTACAATCGCAAAGTTGATGAATTGGAAAGGGCAGACTGTACTGGGCTGGTTTGCGGTGGGGGTTTTTTTTTTTTGTCACAAAAGTTAACTTGTAGATTTTTAAATTCTAAAGATTTTTCCCACAAATAGGCACCAGAACTTGATGTCATAGCACGATGCGATCCACCACGCATAGCTTCTGCCTACTTCCGTACTATTCAATCATCATTGCTGAAAGTCATCGTAGCCAATTATCTAAGACAGCACCCAGGTATAATTTTACAAAAATAGTTGACTTTGTCCTCGAAACTATCAGTCTAATATGTGTCAATCAAATCAGAATACGACGACGTAAGGGAGATTACTCCCTTGATAGCACGTGAATCGTGTGCATTATTCCAAGATCTCGTTGGAATTGTTATTCGGAAAGTACCAAAATCTACAGACTTGGAAAATTCTGCAGCGACAATGGACACTGAAAGTACGACGGTACAATGTTATTTCTCAGCTCCATCGTTATCGGAAGTTTTAAACCAGTTTCAAAATTTGAATCGAGATGTTAAGGGGGATATCGTGGAGATGAACATTTTAAAAGAATTGGCGAACATGTTACCTACCGGAATTAATGGTTTAGGAATCAGCGGTACTTCAACAGATGGCAATCCGTCATTAATTGATGAGAGAGAAGATGAGGATGACGAGGTGGGAGAATTATTTTCCGTATGGGGAAATAAGAAACTGAGGACGAGAAGGGCGAGCACCACGGATATCGCGGACGGCTTATCTAGACGGACTTCATATTCCACGGCACCTGAAGATATAGTGGAGGAGACCACCAAGAAAAGAAAGGGAATTGATGCAGAAGGTTGTAGTAGGGGCGCTTCAAAAAAGGTTAGTTCAGGGTTTTCAATCCGATATCGATACACGACTCCCTATTCCATGTTGTTTCGTTGATTATAGGCCAAGACACCTGCGAACGCAACCACCGACGTTATTCCTGCACCATTCATGATCATACCCGGTCAGGGATCGGAGTATCTGCATGAAGCGCTCGGTGAAGATAGGTAAATAATGTCGATCTCGGCAATGCCCGTATAAAATCACCGGCAACTCATTTCACGTTTTGTTTTTAAAGCTTATATTACTCCACGGAATTTGACGAGTCGTTATTATCGTCCTCTACGAAATCATATTTTGCGCCAATCGACGACCAACAAACTCAACAATCACAATCGATCATGACCTACGCCCAGCTGGATATAACTCGATGTTTGGATGCGATATCCCATCACATCAACTCGTGTACACAAGGAAAGATATCCCTGTATTCTAAATCGTGTCAAGAATATGAACTTCTGTTGGAAATACTTGAGGCGTTGGATGGAATTGGGGACGAAGTTGCGTTGTCCAAGAAATTGGAAAATTGGATGGATGTCTCTGAGGATGAAGACGATGAAGTGATAATAATGAGAACCAATAATTCTAGGTCCGAAGAGGTGGACACAGAAAGTACAAGTAGCGAGTCTCAGGACATCCATGTCGAGGTGGATCGGCGGGAGACTCCTGCCATTGTCGAAAACCATGCGACGACAAAAAAATCGGTCGTGACGTGGAGCGAAAACGAGGTAAAGAAGGAAGCTGAAATAAAGAGTGAAGAGGGTGAAATGGACGAAGATCCTTCATCAAGTAACAATGCTGGAGTTGTTTCCGGAGAGGTAAGTTCGTCTTCTATCGAGGAGGGCGAAATTGATGAAGAGGAGGATATTGATGTAATAGCACGAGATGCACGTGATGAAAATCTCTTCAAGAAGGGGGACGAAATATCGCTACCCCTTCATATTAAAAACACTAAAAGTTTGGAAGTTACGAAAACCACAAATACACGGGAGAGTAGTCCTGGGTGGGCATGGGATGAAGAAGAAATGGGAGAATGATTCCATCTTTGAGAAAAAAAAAAAAAAAAACATGTATAATATATCCATGGCGACATATATTTAGCTGTTTATATACGTACATGTCATTCAAAGAATGGTATCAACACGATTTATTTATTGTTTTTTGTCGAACGAACCTCATCTTACTTTTCCCTTGAATTTATTTTACATCAATAGAATTCTTTGGTTACTCTAGCACATGTATGCTTTTATGTATCGGAAAAAAACACAGTGTCCGAATTCATCACAAACTAAAAACGATTGTAAACAAATAAATAAAACAAAGAAGCCCCCACGAGAGAACGAAAAAGCAACCCAAATTTCTTGACAAATTGACCGAGAGAAAAGATTTTTGTGAAAAATTATTTACTCGTTATTAAGGTGAAGTAAGAGACGCTTGAAAGAGTATATATAATATACATATATTTTCCCTACAATTTGTTGATGTTTCCCTTCCTTGATGTTTTTGTTTACGGAAATTAATCTCTTTTCCTTAGATTATTTGTGCCATCGTCGCCACACGCTGTTTCATCAAAGGGTCTTCAGCGTTGCAGGTAATAATGACATATCAAATAAATTTAGCGTGCGTGTATGTACATCTAATCCATCTTTTGTTCGGTATGGAGCGAAGCGGTTCACTTTTTTTGAATTCTAGTTAAATTTATAAATGCAATTGTGATTGGTTTTTTTCTTATTCGGTATTCCTCGGGGCTCAAAACTTGTTAATAGATGCACTGCAGGCTTATGATTGCATGAAAACCCTGTGAATCTTGATCCTGTGTCAATCCTTTTTTGTCGTACCAATGAGTTGCGAATCACGAGGACAGGGGACAATAGTGGTTAGATCAATATCGAGGATGCTTAATTTAATTTGAGGGCGTTATGATCATGTACATTGAAGTTCGGGCCTAAATTTGTGCCCGGTAAAATTTAGCCTATTGTCACACGTGTGGATGTCAATAAGGAATTTTTTTAGAACTATAAATCTACACATTCACCCCGTCGTCTCCTCCCGCATCTTTTGTTTCTATCCATTCCATTTTGTACATTGATAATGTTTTAGTGGCGTGGTTTCTTCGTAACATCTGATTTTATCCATCCAATACATAATTCGTCAGGTCATTCGATTTGAATTTGTTTTCTAAATACGTAAATTTCCGTACACTGGTATTATATCTGTATGGTGCTCATCTGTAACGCGTTTTTCTATATCGAGGCATTATTGGGCATTTCACCAAAGAATTATAACATTCATAAAATGATTCAAACGGCTGAATTATCGAATATTCCTTCGGAATCAAACTCTATTCTTCTACTCGATGCTTATTATCGATACGCTTCATCCGGTGAGATGAAAATTGAATCCTCACTCTTTCCCTCTTGCACAAATTCTCGAGATCACAGAGGGACAACCTCCTCTGCATGCCCTGCATCGACAATACCAGATTATGTGTCGCGCCAAAAATCGACTCTCGATACTTCCGCGTTCAGTCGAAATTCGATGATACCTTCGACAAAAACATTCGATTTGCCGAATTACCGGCCAACCTCGCCTAACGGTAAGGTGACACCGACCAATGATTATGGCTCCTTTTCCACTTTCTCTCGTGAGTTTGAAAAGGCAGGCGACGAAAAGTCCGGCGTCACCACCCTGACAAATACCAATGGTTATGCTTCGGGTATTTGCGGTCTGTACCGCTTTCCCGAGAATAATCCATCGGCGCGCGCTCCATCCACGGAAACTTTCTCCCACTGTCAAAATAGAGTGTCAAGAGGAAGGCATCAATCTATTACCAGTGATGTGACGTTAGTCGAACAATTTGACACCGGTGATGTCAATCTTCACAGAGACGACGAAGAAGAAATCAGGGAGGATGGAATTTCTCGATCTTGTGTTTGGTATGAATCATTGAAATAGTTCGAGTAGCCTGTTATCGAATCGGCTTTACCAACAGATCGTTGCGTTCTTTTCTTTTCTTTTTTCTTTTTTAGTTCAAAATCGTCAAATCACTTTGATCAATTGAAAGAGCATTCAACAAGCATCGATTACACGATCCCATTTATTTTACCCCCGGGAGCGTTGTCGGGCCCTTCGATACTGTTGTTCGAAGAAAATCCCGTATTAAAGCTCGCATTGAATTCGAGGGATCCGATGGTAAAATACCTGAGCAAAGCATTAATAGAAGTCATTGATCAAGCATTTGAGAATGACAATACATGGACATTAAGAAGGATAGAATGGATCGAGACCATTAAGTTGGTTAAAAAAGAACTAGAGAAACATAAAAAAGATAAGACAACATTAAAACAACAAATAAAATCATTGGCATTGGCATATGATATAATCAAGAAAGAGGTAGAAAAGATTAGGCAGGAAAATTTTATAATACAAAAGGAGTTGATGGAAGCGCGGGAGAAGATTCTCACCCTTGAAAGGGAGAAAATCCGGAATCAGGGAGAAATGATGTGGAACAGCATTAAGACAGGTATGCATTTGATGATGGCTCCTTTTCCTTGTTTATATCTGCCAATTCATAAATTATTTATCATCATTTTTTTTTATCATCAATTTGTAGCCACCGTGGTTGGGATTGGGATGGTCACGGTACAAATGGTTTGGAAAAAATTATGTAAATAATAGAACTGTTAATTGGAATTCGAATGGCTAACGATGATTATATAGTTAATAATTGTAAGATATTGTAATAACTAATGTAACTAATAAAACCAATAAGACGAATGGTTAATCTAGATGATAACCAGCAAAACACTGTAGCTGTAATCTCGTTATAAAGAATATTACATAGTTATCCATCGATTATACGTTTATGTCATGACGCGAAATCACGTGGGTATTATGAGAAAGGTAAAGATGGGAACTTCCTCGCGGCACCATCACAAATTTCAATTAATAAGAGTATTTGGAGGTATACGCACAATTATAACTTCGGCAGCCAATCGCGTTATCACATCTAATCGTCGATTAATTGATAAGACCAATGAGTGCATAATAGGCCAAGTAATTTCGTTCCTTGTACTTACGAGGCTCGATTTTCAATGGATTCATGTCAGGAAATAAACGCCAACCACCTGTTAAAACTGAAAGCTGCCAAGAACTTTTACGAAAATCTGCAACCCATTACCTCTGCTGATTTCGATGATTCGGGAGAATTATGTGTGACCGCTTCGGCGGACGACTCTATTAACCTTTACAACTGTCTTCAAGGAAGGTGAGAAGGATTCTTCTTTACTTATTAAGGACGATTTCTCGCCAGAGTTTTTTCGCCTTCACGCGATCAACTTAGAATGCGGTTTTATTCATAGACTATTTTATGGTAGCTCGATGTGCAAAAGCGTGCTGTTTAATTACAACATCCATGAAGCTAGTGATATTGTGCAGTCCTTCAATCCGAAACTAACAAAACGCGCTATTCTTTTTTTCCTTTTTCATAAAAAAAAAAAGGCATAAGAAATTATTGTGGAGTAAAAAGTATGGAATTCATATCACTCGCTTTACACATCTGAACACCAATATCCTTTACGCGTCTACCAAAGAGAACGGTATGTGTTCCAAGGATTCTGTTTTAGAAAGGATTTCGTTCCGTTCGTTCGTCCCAATGAATTATTTCTTCGTGCGCATTCTCAGATTCGTTAAGATACTTGTCACTACACATGAACAAGTTTATAAGATATTTTGAGGGACACCAAAATAGGTGAGTCCTGAAAGGCCACGTGACAAAGCCGCCAATCATCGATACTGAAGCATTTTGTGAAAAAAAAAACCCCCACTAGAGTAGTTTCATTAGAGTTGTCGCCATCCAACGACTTATTCCTATCGGGTAGTGTAAATGAAGGTGTTCGATTGTGGGATTTAAGGCAATTCAATGAAATTGTACTAAATAAGTTTGTGTATTATATGAAGATTCGAATTTTCAAAAGAAAAGAAAAGAAAAAAAAAAGCTTACTTTATTATATCTTCAATTCTCATATTAGGGCTTCATCAATAATCAAACAGGAAGACCATGCGTAGCGTTCGATCCTACCGGCGTCGTGTTTGCCATCTGTTTTCAGAATCTCGATAGCTCAATAAGATTGTATGATATTAGGAAATTCGACAAGGTGTTGGCGGAAATCAATCTATTCTTTCTTTTTATAATTCATGATCTGAAATACTCATCATCCCTTATTTTCCATAGGCACCTTTTGCCACATTCAATGTCGTGGATAATTATATAACCCCAAGCGTGTATCCAAGGATCCCCGTGTTTCCAGAATGGACAGGGCTCAAATTTAGCAGCGATGGCGAAAAAATATTGTTAACGACTTCGGGCGATGTGCATTATATCGTTGACGCGTACGATGGTGAATTAAAACGTAGATTAGTGGGGCACGTGGGGCTAAATAACGCGTCGGCCTTTTTGGGAGGAGAGGAGACGTGTTTCACGCCCGATGGACGCTATGTAATTGCCGGTACAATTAGTCTCAGAATGTCGATTCACTTACGTATCTTATTTATCTCACTTTGTGAAACCCGATCACTCAGGATCACAAGACGGACAAATAAACTTTTGGGATACTGCGACAACTTTAAGCACATCCAATATGCTTTTGGAAGGAATCGACACAAGGTCCATGCATACATTGGAACATCATGTCAGGCCTACTCAAGTAGTAAAGTTCAATCCTACTAGGTTAATGATGATTAGCGCGTGCACGGATTTGGTGTGTCATTCTTTGTGTTTAATAAGGAAAAAAATTCGCATGCGACAAAATTTTCTAACGATTGCTTTTAGGCATTTTGGCTGTCCGCTGTGGATACTGAAGAATCTGACGTGTCGGATCACGAAATATCTGTCGACAATTCTAGCCAGATAAATAAGATGCTTAACTCATTGAGTGAATATTCGGGTTCTTCCAGTGAAATGCATATTCCCGATGAAGTCTCCGGTTCATCTTCGGAATCTATCAAAGTTTCTATCAAAGATGACGAAAAACCGGTGGTTATTCCCGGTTCCTCCGAGGACCTAAATGAGAAAGACGAGACCTCACCAACTTTACAAGCAGTCACCAATGAAATGATCGTGACAGAAGATGCTTCGTCAAACGAAACACACATGGATGAAGGAAAATTGGATACAGAATCGAATTCTCCAAACAAGATGGAAATAACGATCACTTCGTCGAATGCAACCTCGGACACCTCGCCAACTGGCGAAGTGCATAGTACGGACGAAACATATAGAACAGAGTCACCGGTTGACTCTAGCGAACCCGATAAACCACCTTCCAATGAATCCCAACCAACGTCAGTAGGAGAAGCACTCGACACTCAGGCTATGGAAGTATTCGAGTCCACCGATGAAATTGACGTGAACCCCGGTGGAACATCTGATGTGAACATGGACGATGATATGAAAGAAAAAGACGATCATTGAAAATTTGTCATGGTCATATGTAATATAGCATGGTTAATGAATACTGACGATTGTTTTATTTTTTGGCATAATACAAAAAAAAGATTTTTAAGAATGACGCGACGATAAATCTCTTCTTTTTTTCTTTGAAAGAAATTTTTTGCTTAGAAGTTGGTTTATTTTTTAGACTCGAATTATCTTACGAAATAAAGTTAAATCATTGATCCTAATCAAACGAAATTTGACGTTAAGCTAATGCAAATAACAATATTTTGTTATTAAACTTTATAAAATTGCTATATTTAAGTTATCAAAAATTTTTAAATTTTGTAATATTTTTTCTATCAATAAATTGGCGTAATTTAAATAATAATTATATCAAATCAAAACCAATTAATATTACTGAAATCTATGGTAAATGAAAATTGGTTTGTTTTTTTTTTAAACGATTTCTAAAATCAATTGTATCATTCTAACAAAATAATCTTTTTTAAAAAAAAAAGACAATATTAAAATTTGACAAACTTCATAAAATGAATTACATTTTTTTATTGCATAAATCAATAATTGCCTATAATTATTTTTGCATTTTTTGATTTAAAATTTAGGAGAAATTCTTTTGCAGTATTACTGTATTTCTATTTCAAATATAATTTAAAAAAAATTCGGATGATAGCTTCATTTTTTAATAATTAATAATAAATTTTAAATATTTGACCTTTTTTTATTATTAAAGATTGTATTATTAAATCTTATTATAAATTAACTATTATTAAAATATGCAATTAGTCGTGTATTAATTAAATTCCATTTGGGTTTTTTTTTATTAATTGTAATATTATACTGCTCTTGAATGATTGAATTTAACACCATGCATTCACAATTTGTATGTACATTCATATTTGTTGATAAAAATTCACGATCTGTTCATCATCTGCTCTATACAAAATAGTGTTTTTTTTTTTCAGTTGGTGCTGATTTCCTTTGTCACTTATATAACCTCATCTTTAATCTTTGATTTTCTTCTCGGAGTCTTTCAACCTCATCACGTAATGACATAGTCTCACCACAGTATCTTAGAAACATCAATTCCATTTCTTCCTAATATGGTTTTTTTCTTTTGTTAAATGATTGCACAAAGCATGTACATCAATAATAATAGGTACGAACCTTTTGTATGTGAAATTGACGCAACAGCTCCAAATGCATATTTTGTATGTCATTTCGTAATGATATTCGAAATTCTTGTAAGCATTCATCGATCACATTCCCAATAACTTGCAGCTGAAAATTAGTTGCAGGCACCGTATTGTTGGTATTTTCCGACGGAACTGGGATGTCTTTGCTGACCGTCAAATTGGGAGTGGGTAATGTTGTTGTAACTTCGGTTGAAATTGTTTCTCTGCCCTCCTTGGAAGTTTTGGTCAATGGAGGAGGAAAAGCGGGAGTTATTTCGTCGGGTGATAAAACCATTTCAGTCAGAATTGGCGCGTCATGGGTCTCATTAATACCATTAGATAGGGACATCCCAAATGGCTATATGGTTAAAGTTTTTGCGCTGTTAGTTTGACCAACTCGATTCGATATTCTTTCCTTGCACAGCAATCTCACCTTTTCTGTTGATGATTCTAAATTTTCAGAGGCCATTTCATTATCAGCAAATGAAACGCGCTTCTTTGGACTAATAATATTCGGCGGGAGGGAGTCGCTATTATTTACGGATAATCCTTCGGTATTACTTATCGTCTCTTTAACTTTAGAAATGATCTTTGTTTTCAGGCTGTCTAATGTTCCAGTGATTAACGAATTATTGAAAAGAACAGAATCTCCTTTGACTTCGTCTTGCACATTCCTTTCGTCCAATTTTGGATCTCTTGTATTTATTTTCGTAAGATCCTTTGTTATCTCATTATTTCGTGTCGATTGTTGTTTTTCCTTAATCGTATTCTCTTTAGGCTTAAGAATGCTATGGACTTCTTCTACCGAAGTGTCCTTTACCGGCGAAAATATATCCATCAAATTCTTTTCTCTTGTTTCACCTGGAGTTGACGGAGGGAGCGAAGTTTTAGAAGCTTTGACAGATGAAGCGGGAGTAATCGATCCCCTCGACGATGTCCGGTTGTGTCCAGACTTTTTATTTATAGTTTGACGTCTTTCCGATGAACGATCCTTCTCCTGTTAAAATACTACATAAGACAAATACCCAAGAATTTACAGATCGATATAAAAAGAACACAGCTTACCTGAAAATGTAAACTCTTTATTGGTGATGATTCATATCCCAATAAAATGCACGTAGGTTTACTCGCAGATCTCAAGTCATAGACTAATATCATACCTAATGAGAATGAGAAGTGTGAGTGACGAAGAATTTTTTAAATGATAATAATGTTTCTTACCATTCTGAGTGCCGGCAACTATAGTCACTCCATCAGTCTTAAAGCCTAATGATGTCAAGGGCGTTTCCGCGTATATCGTTTTCAGGGTTCTTTTTTTTTTTTTTTCATAAAAATTTGAAGATTAAAAATGATGGAACACACGGTCGGATAAAACAATTATATGTCACCAGTCATGCACGTACGCCTTTTTCCCGACGTCATAAAGAACGATATGTTTGTCCAGACCAGCGCTACACAACAAATGTGAATTAAAGGGCGAAAATGCCACACCCTTTATTGCAAAATGATGCACATTTTCAAATGTCTGTAAAGCTGTTGTAGAAACACCGGTATCCCATAATCTTAATGATCCATCATCTCCACCAGCGGCTAATAGCCCTCGCTTAAAAAAGGAGTATTCCAAGACGTTTATCGACTAAATTTATAAACCACATAAGTCTATAGAGTCATAAAAATGAAAGGTTATTTTGAAGGGATTAATTTGATTCTCACCTGCTTCGTCAACACTACCAAGTTATCGCATGCATTGGATTTTAACCGATTATGCAAAAGGATGTGCCCACTTGCACTCGAACTTGCCACAATGGTTTCATCTATGTTCAAATCTATGCACGTGATATCACCGCGATGTCCCTAGTGCAATTTTTGTAGAGCTCGAGTTATTTGAAGTAATGAGTGCGCCCAAGCCCAAATAATTTCCTTACCTTCAAAGGGTCGACAAATGTAGAGCTTTCGCGGTCCCAAACGTTTACAACTTTATCCGAACCCCCGAACAACAAATATCTCGACTTATTCGCGAAATGTACGGAGTTTATGTTCTGAACCTTCTAATTGATGACAGGGGAATGCAACATAGATTGATGGTTTAAAATGTATATTTATCGGATAGTAAACCGAGGTCGAATTAATTACTAGCTTAATTTACCGATCCTTCATTTTTTGACGTTATAGATTCTAAAGGATTCCCCTGCGAATCATATATCGTAAGAGTTCCTTCGTTTCCCGCCACAGCCAAGCGCTGATCTAAATAATATGATGTGAAGGAATTGAGGGAAGGACGCTTTTCCTTAAGGTTCAGTTCAGTTCATATTAACGTGAAGTGGAAAGGATACTATCATGACTCCAACGAGCTACATTAACGGTTTCTGAAGCGCTCTCCGGTTTAAAGGATGCCGATTCAACCCCAAATAATTGTTCGGGTGTGCTCGAGTTAAAACTTCCATTAACTTTAATGCTTCTTGTAATTGCTGTTATATCCCAAATTTTAACGTTCGTCGAAACCGAAGCTAATAAACTAGTCGACATTTTTTTTATGTAAACATGGATTTATGAAGTATACAAACAATAATAATATTACATGCACATGATGATGATCATTTTATATATTGATTAATAAAAAGCCAATCGCAGGAATCCTCGTGATTCACACGTGATACATTTATTGGGCGAGCTTTTTATAAAGCTTTTCCACATCATCCACATCATCTTTACTACCCAAAAAGATTGGACATCTGGAATGGATTTCCTCGGGCACAACATCAAGTACCCTCGTTGTACCAGTGGTGGCCTTACCACCAGCTTGTTCAACTAAGAAAGCCATTGGAAAACACTCGTACAGGAGGCGAAGTTTACCGTTTTTTGATTTTTTGTCGGAAGGGTACGCGAAGAGTCCACCATATAAGAGCGTACGATGAACATCTGCCACCATTGATCCAATATATCGAGCCGAATATGGACTTTTTCCTTCCGGGGGAGATTTAAGGGACTGAAAATATTCGGTGCAAGCTTCATCCCAATATTTGGAATTGCCTTCGTTAACAGAGTATATCTTACCGCGTGATGGAATTTTAATCTGCAAATGGTGAAATTAAAGACACAAATAAACAAATGATGAATTAAAAGATACAAATAAACAAATGATGATTAAAAGTCACAAATAAACAAATGGTGGTGAAACCGAATCCAAAGGGGTTCAAAGACTTACATCAGGATGGGTAAGGATAAATTCCCCAATTGCCTAGGAGATAGAATAAAAATGTGTTAATCCAAATAAATCCCTGAAACATCGCATGAATGAAAAAAAAAAATTTTTTTTTTGAACATACATTATCAAGAGTAAAACCGTTCACACCATATCCAAGCGAAATAACCATGTTCGCCGAACTACCATACATACAATAACCGGCAACGACCATTTCGCGACCGGGTCGAAGAACGTCCGAGATGTCACCAGAAGAGCCTTCTTGCTAATTATCAACAAACGAATGGTTAATGCAATATCTGTTGGCCTAATTTAGTAACCAGCTTTTTAATTTGTATACTCACCACTCTATAAATACCGAAAATAGTGCCAACATTAACACCAGCATCAATATTGGATGACCCATCCAACGGATCAAACACAACGCAGTATTTTCCTTTTAAGCCTTCTTCCACAATTATGGCCTCATCGTTTTCTTCAGATACCATCACAGACACTTTTCCAGAAGAGCGAAGTGCATTGATAAAAATTTCGTTGGAAATGATATCAAGTTTTTTTTGGTCATCGCCGGAGATATTTTGAGTACCAGCGGCAAGACCAGTCCTGCGAGTATTAAAATTCAAACAAGATATTCCTTTAAATTTGAATGTTACACATAATTTGATTCCGTTGGGATCCTAAGGAACCAGCTTATCGCCGAAGCTAGGCACCATGATAAAGGAATTAAGAATTCTTACAAATTAAGCAAGCGAGCTTTTCTAACATTTGCCGATACAAATTTACAACCAAGTTGAATTATATTCAGCAATAAGGATAGGTCGCCACTGGCCTCCTTATACTTGCGTTGTTCATCAAGAACATAACGAGTCAAGGTGATAATATCAGTGACAACTTTATCGTCAGACATTTATTCTTGATTTATTAATGAACCACCCGAACCGGTTCCTTTTTATAAGATGATGAAAATGGTGATAAACTTAAATTTTGCACACGGTTTCACAACCCAAACCCATGCGGAAGCTGCAGATAGGTAATTAATTAGGCTAGTAAAATAATTAGTTAGTTTGCTTAATTTAAGTTTTTACAAATAAGTAAAAAATTAAATAAAAAAAAAAATAAGTTTTATTTTTTTTTGAATTAAATTTCATAATAAATTAACTAATTTTTTTCTTTTTTTTTAACTCTCTGTCAGGCTAGTTATGTGTGTTTTATTAAACATTTATAAACTATACATATAATATGAATCATTAACACTAATTAGCTCATTCATTTTTACAATTACTACTCTAAGTGCAACTTTGGAAGTGATTTATCACTTCATTAGAAAATCCTTTCAACTCTTAATATTATTGCTTACAGGTTACTACTATAGATCACTCTTTAAGTTTTGATATTAATCAAAATTCAATCATTTCATCCCAAATCTAATCTCTTTTGATAAGATATCTTTTAAGTCTTTATCTTCTAATCTTCCTTCTTTCAATATCAGAGTTTTCCTTTCCAGTTATATAGTTTTAACACCTGAGAGATTAGAAGGTTTTTTTATCTTATCCTTCTTTTAGATTCTTTGCAATCTTTTCCATTCTATTATCCTTTCACATCTTGCATTCTAAATTTTCTTTTGGAATTAATTACAAGTCATACTTTGTAACTTCTTAATTCATCTTCTTGCTTTTTTTCCAATTCTTTTACTATGTTATTTAAGATTTGCTATTTTAAGAATGAGTCCATTTCTTATTAATCTTATAAAAAAACTTAATATACTGTATCTTGACTAATTTCATTATATTTATATGAATATATATATGATTATAAACCATTATATGTATTTTGATGCTTTTTATTTGAGAGGATGAATAGTATATTAAGTAGGTTTTTAAATATATTTAATATTTAAAAGTAAGATTCTAATGAATTTTTAATCTAGATTTATTGCATAATAGTTATTAAAATATTGAACCCAAATTAATGCAAAGATTGATAAATGATTTTCAAATTATTAATTTAACTATATTCTATTCTAATAACCAGAAGATTGAAAATTTAAATAATTTATCAAATATTAGCTCAATTTTTGAACTAAAATAGTTTTTGATTAATTTTTTTTTTTAAATGCTAATTCAGTCTTGCTTTATTTATAATTATGTAGTATCAATATATAGAAGCTATTCTAGGATATATTACCTATTTACTATCAAATAAAATTCAATAGAATTCCTCTGTATTGAGGTACTTATCTTGCAGCTTGTTGTCACTTCCAGAGTAGGAAGCCAACTTGTCAAGGCTAGGCTAGTGATGAAAGAAATTTCAAATATGTAGAAGTTGTCTATAAGATTTGTAATTCATTTATTCATAAACTCATTATCATGATCTTTATTAGTGATATACCTGTATATTTATATAGGGCAACTGCCTTAGCTTTAGCTACTTACATTACTCTTTATATACAAATAGACAATATACTGTATATACTAACAAGTACTTATATATCTACTTGTATTAGTAACCTATATACATAAGTAGCTTCTATATATTTACTAACTATGTATAAGCACTATCTCATTGGAAGATCATGCAATTCCTTCTTAATTTTTTCCAGATCATTTTTATTAAAAATAGTTTAGTTATCAAGCCATCAAATTTTCTTTATTCTGAACTCAGATTTTGGTTCTTTGGAATGGTTAGTGGATTTCTTTTCCCATTAAGATCTCTTGATTATTAAGTCTATGAGTTAAGATATAGCTACATGCTTGAAGTCTTGAAATTAGATAAAATCTTTAGTTAGCCCTTCCTCAGTGGCATGCAACTGATTTAGGAATCTAATCTTCTTGTTACTAGCATATAGTAATGGAGTTCTATCAAGGATAATTCTACTTGATTTTAAATAGTGACCTGATCATAATTTTTGTATAAACCATCTTGTATTATAAAGATCTTAATTTTTGATAAAAATCAATGAAAACTGACAATTCTCTTGATATGTACCAGCTATACTCCAAAATATTGGATATATATAGTTAGGTCAATAGATGATTTGCCAGATTCTATCTGCTATATTATCAGGGAAATCACATTAGTCTCCTGAATGATTTGAACCTGCATCTTGTGATCTGATCTATAGAGTGCTAATCACTGCACTATAGATCCATAGGTCAGTTTTTGGTTAATACATTATATCAATTTATAAGTAACATACTGTATATAATATTTATGAAACAATTATCCATGAATCAGAATATTTTTCAGATAATTTCTTGTATTCAAAAAAATCAAATTTAAAGATATTTACTAAAATATTAAATCTATTAGTTAAATACTATAAAGTATCTTATAAAACTATGAACTTTCAAAGACTATTTATAAAAAATAATAAAAATTTGATAATTATTTAGAATAGAGCAGATCAATATAATAGATGTTAAATTGAGGTCTATATTAATAACACTTAGGAAAACTCTTTTCACTGATCCTTAAAATTTCAGAAAATTTTCTTTTATAGTAATTTTCTAAAAAAAAAAACTCTTTTCACAAAAAACAACCCCAAGGAGAGATAACAATAGCAATAACTCCTTCCCCTTTACAATATACACTTGACTCTTGATAACAAGGAAGGGATTTTGCTAGTCAATAACAATATCTTTATATCCTTGTTTTGCTTAAAGAAGAAGAGAAAGCAAGGACAAACTGATTCACAGTAGACTTCTTGAGATCCAACATCAACTTCACAGAGCTCTTAGC